TAAATTAAAATTGAAAAGTTGCCTAAACAATATCACTTATCCATAATTTTTTAAAAAGTTTTTTTACACAAAATGTTGAGGATCTCCTAATATAAATCTAATAATATACAATATTTACTAACGTTGAGACTTTGAACTATTGATTAATGAATGTAGGAAGATAGTTTAAAAAGAGAGCAAACGTTTTTCAGTTCTAGTTAGCTTGTTGTTCATTATATTTATTTAATTATTTTTGTTTTATTTTACTTATTGATTTGGTTCTCATTTATTATCTGTTGTTTAATTATTTTTTTATTACTTTTTATTCCATTTTTTTAAATATTTATTTTGCTGTATAGTGTTTTTTATTTTTCTTCTATAGACATTTTTTGATTGTGAATATTTTCTTTTCATATTTTTATTTTTACTAATTTAATTATTTTATAAAACTAATATTGCAAAAAAAATCTGAATATATCATGTATTGTAAAAATGCAACATATAATACATATAGTGTGCCAACTTGTAATAGGCATTGCGCATGTAATGATCACTTAATAAACTCTCCTTCTTTGGAGTTACAAAAAAAAAGAAAACAAGAAGTATATATATAAATAAATACATACATACACAATACAAATAAATGTAAATAATAATAAAAAAAACAATGAAACATAACCTATAGCCATTTATTATGATACATATAATTATTTAAAATGAATCTAAAATAAATGAATATAAGTTTAGAGGTTTCTATTTATTTAAATATAGAAAATATTATGGCACTGAAGATAACAAATACGACTAGAAAAACATAAAAAGGTGTTTTATTTTTCTTCTGTTGGCTTACAGATCTTGTTGATCTCCGGCTACCTAAACTATCTTTCTCCATCTCAGCCTATGATCGGGTATTGCTTTCCAGTTTGCAACAAGTATTTCAATTCTATCGAGTTATACAAGTGGGCAACAGGGCTTGCATCTAAGGAATGGTGGTGGACAAACTCTACTGGAGTCAACAGCAGCTTCCTGAGATTTAGCATGAGACCAACCCATCTCCCATTTTGTAAAAAATTGTTGGTTATGAAACATACGATCAAAGAAAAGCTGGACAGAAATAATGGTAACGACCCTGGTGAGAAAAGGAAAACAAAGAACTTGAAATGTTTGAACATGGCTACATGGAACGTAAAAACCATGCTTCAGTCAGGAAAAATGAAAAGAAATTGCGGATGAAGTAATGAAACTTCACCCCAATAAACGAAAGGATTAGTATATTATGAGTTAAAAGCCATTGGCATAATTAACATGTATGCACCAACCAAAGATAAAGATGAAGAGATGAAGGATGATTTCTATGATCAGTTGGAAAACATTGTGGTCCAAGGTCATAGACATGAGATAAAATTGGTCATAGGTGACTTCAATGCAGAGATAGGGAGAGAACGGCAATTCAGGTCCATTATCGGAGGTCAAAGCTTTCACGAAAATAGCAATGACAATGGAGTGAGATGTATCAGTCTGGCAGCAGCTGAAGGTCTAGTCCTGAGTAGTACAATGTTGCTACACATGGATATCCGCAAGTACACCTGGATTAGTCCCAAAGGAGCGAAAAACTAAATTGACCAAGTGCTGGTATACAAGAGACATCAGAGCTCAATACAAGATGTAAGAAGCTATTGCGGAGTAGACTGTGATTCAGAACATTCTCTAATTAGAATTAAACTATGTCAGAGATTGAAGCTAATTCACACAACAGGAGATCGAGTGGAAACAAGGAGGTACGAAATCCATAATTTGAAAATTTCTGAAGTAAAAACCAAATTCCAACTTGAGCTGAAAAATAAATTCGAACTCTTGGATTTTGATAGCCTCACGGTGGACCAACATTCGGAGGAAATAGAGAAAGTACTAAAAGAAACAGCTAAGGAAGTGATAGGTATTCAGGAGAAACGAAAATCTAAGATGTGGTTCACAGAAGCATGTGAAAAGGCAGTAGAGGAAAGAAGAAAAATGAAAGTCCTCTGCCTAGCTACAACTGATCAGGTTGCTCAGGACAAGTAAATTGCTGCCAAGAAAAAGGCAAACAAAATTATAAGATCGACAAAAAGGAAATTCTTCAAAGAAAGTTCACAAACCATTGAGGACAGCTGGCAGGTTGGAGATATACGTGAATTCTTAGCAGACAGTAGGAAAGAAAGGGTAGGATATAAAACGAGAAACAGGCAAATGTGAGGAAAATATGGCATTTTGACGACATCTAAAGAAAAGATATTGAACATCTGGAAAGAACATTTCCAGGGACTTCTCAATCAACGAAGAAGAATTGGGGACCACATTGAGGATTTTAACCCAGAAGAGGTTGAAAAAACAGATATACTGGATGTAGAAATAGCTATTGAAAGGCTCAAAACAAGAAAGGCTCAAGGGATAGACAATCTACCATCAAAAAGATGGCGGAGACACTTAAGAGCCAAGCAACTACAACCAATCCAGAAAGTTTGGGAAGAGGAAGGGATACCTGAGGTTTGGAATATGAGCCTAATCTGTCTTATCCTAAAGAAAGGCTCCATGCATGAGTGTACTAATTACAGAGGCATAGTACTCCTTCCTGCTGCCTACAAGATAATGACCAATATCCTAGTAAACTGGATATATCCGTATTACAAAAATAGAATAGATGCCCACCAAGATGGATTCAGAGAGGGAAGGAGCACGCTAGACCAGATCTTCATCCTAAAATGAGTACTCGGAAAACAATGGGAAGTAGCTCAGGATAATTTGTCGATTTCAAAGCAGCCTATGATTCTGTGGACAGAAATTGTCATAGAAAAAACATGACTGAACTGGGAATTCCTGGTAAGTTGGTGAGATTGACAAAGGCATGTACAAATGACCCTAAATGTAGAGTCATAATACAAGTAGAAGTATCTAAAGCCTTCAAAGTTCAAACAGGCTTACGGCAGAAAGATTGACTATCACCGATGTTGTTCAACTTAGCCCTGGAGAAGGTGATAAGAACAACATCACAGAAAAATGGAGGGGTCCACGTTGAAAGGAATACACAGATGATATACCTGTTCAAGGAAGTAATCAAGAGGACATTGAAAAACTCGCTAAGACTCTGATAGGAGAGGCAGAGCAGATCGGCCTACAATTAAATGATCTACATGGTCTGTAATAGCAACAGAAAAAAAAAAAAAATATATATATATATATATATAATATATATATATATATTTATAATTTAACCATTTTTTTAATATTTAACAAATGTTATAGTTATGGTATTAATTCACCTATAATTGGTTACAGCTGGTGCTAATTTTCGGTGCTAATTTTTGTCACATTTATTTCAAATTGTATAATATGTCTTAAATTTGGGAAAAATTAACATTTGCAACGATCATTTGAGTTTATATAGTTCATTTCAGTTTATATAGTGACTAAAATAAAATATTCTAAATATAAAGTACAAAATAAAAGTAAATAAGTGAAGAATGGCAAATTGATATAGAAATTTATAGAAAGAATTGTTTCCAAGAAAATCCCTTACACTAGTTTTTTTTCTATATTTTTTTACCATTCTTTCTATGCCCTATAGAAAGTAGACCATTGATGTTTTAAAACCGATAAAGTTTTGAAAATTGGCCAAAACATGTATATTGTTTTTGTCTCATTTCTTCACAATATTATTCTTTGGGTTTTGAATGGAGGAATTCTGCAATCCCATTTTGGTTCTCGACCACAGCATTTGTAAGTTTTTTTTAAGAATGATGAATCATTGAAAGAATGAAAGAGAAATAATCCAATCCACTTCTTTTTTTTCTTTTTGTTTGATGTTCATATTTAATGATATTTTTGACTGGAACTGACATGTGATCATGGGAAGCAAAATGATCCAATTTTTCAATGCAGCTGGTAATTTATTTTATGCAAAAAGTGCGTACCTGTTTCCATTCCTTCAAGCCTTCAAGGTAAGGCTTGAAGAAAAAATATATCCTATTGAATACCAAAGGTTTATGTATCAAAGATATTTTACTGTTCGGTACTCTGACAAGCTCTTTGTTGAAATTTGGTCCAATATCAACAAACAAACATCAAACAAAAATTAAACAAAAAAGAAAAAAAAAAGAAGTGGATTGGATTATTTCTCAATCGTTGTCAATGGTTCATCACGTTTAAAGAATAACTTCCAAACCACGTGGTGTAGGTTCAAAATGGGGTTGCAGAATTCCTTCGTTAACCATCATATAATAATAATAATACAAAATACTAAAAGTATTTTAATTACAACTAAATAATTTCTGGTGGATGATCAGCATACAATACAGGGAACCTACTCTATTTGGTAATTTATTTTATGTATTTAAAATAAAAATCAAAGTACATTTTTTATATTTTAGTATCTTGGAATTAAAATACAAATACTTTTATTGTATTTTGTATTTTAAAAAGAAAGTACAGTTAAAACAATCTATTTTATATTTTACTTCTTAAAATGCAAAATACAAAAATGTATTCTATTTTTTATTTTAAAATATTTATTTGAAATATTGCCCAAGTATGGTTAAGACTTTTTTAACCTTTAGAGGAATTTAATTTTTTTCTTAATAGTTTACCATTCTTCGTGTGTTTCTTTGTGTATATTTTAACTATTTAATGGTTTTTTTTTTTTAATTCCTTTAATGTAACAGGTCTTTTGGCAAGAAGTAATTGACTTTTTCTATACAACTTTGTTATTCTTTAAGGACTTTGTACCAGTATAAAGTTATTTTTCTATTTCTATTGGTTATTTCAAGATATTATATGAAAAATATTTATGCCATCGTTAAATCATATAAATATAATTAACTAAATAATGTTATGTATTATCATTTTCTTTATTGGTGTGGATTTAATAAACAGAAATTAACAAAAGAATTTTCCCTTTCATTTAAAGCATTAAAATACATCCTTTGCTATGATTAACAGACACATAAATAAAGTAAAATAATTGGTTAGGTGTTATAAACATAAATTACCTTTTCATCAGATCTATCAGGGCAGTCAAAATCTCCATCACACCTCCATTTTGCAGTTATACAGGATTTGTCATGACATTGAAAATCAGATTTTGGACATAATTTTTCAGGGCATTTGCTTTCATCAGAATGATCTCCACAATCATCATCCATATCACAAACCCAAATTTGCTGAATGCACTTTCCATTGTTACATGTAAATTCATCTGAACGACATGTTTCATCTGAAGGTAAATTAAAAAAAATCAAAATTATAAATAATCAAAATTTATAAATAAGAAAGAGAAAAAACGATTTCCTAATGTCAGTTTAGATATAGATTAATTGTAAATAATTTATTTAATTAAACCATTAACATACCCTACTGCAATATCATAATCTTTAATCAAGACAATTGAATGTAGTGTAAAACATACTATGATGTATCATGATATGATTTTGAACAACACACAGCTATATTACTTATCTTCAGAAGGGTAGGGAAATAATTTTATATATATATACTTAGCTATTTAATAGGGAATAAGGTCACTTATTAATTATTCAATAAACTATTGAAAGTTCATTTCTTCTATGTTTATTGACGTTTCGATCCCGGTATTTTCTTTTTATAAGTCAATGATGGGGTCCTCTTCAAAGCTAGAATTTTAAAAAATAGAGCTTCGATCAGGCGAGGGACACATCGACAGTCTCAGCACCGTCCCTAGCCTGATCGAAGCTCTATTTTTTAAAATTCTAGATTTGAAGAGGACCCCATCATTGACTTATAAAAAGAAAATACCGGGATCGAAACGTCAATAAACATAGAAGAAATGAACTTTCAATAGTTTATTAAATAATTAATAAGTGACCTTATTTCCAATTAAATAGTTAAGTTTAAATTTAATACTCAAAGGTCGATTAAGGAAAAGTTGTAAATATATATATATATATATATATATATATATATATATATATATAAAACTTTTTATATACATATAAATTTTATATAAATTTGTAACCTCCAAAACCTTTTTTTTTTCACTTCATCTTTTTATCATTCCTTTTTCTTCCTCCAGGTCCGATACTTGGTTGGACCATTACATTATCGGCTCCTCTGAGAACCTCCTTTCCTCTTCCCAAGTACTAGTATCCTTTTTAACCTCATGACCTAACCCTAAGTTCATATAATATCCAAACTCCTCAGATCTTACCTAGAACCATAACATTCCATAACATCACTCGGGAAAAAATCTTATCCTACCTGCAAACCCTAAATTGGAATGGAATATATTCCTGTTGCTCTGTTGACTCCATGGTTGATATTTTCACCTCCAACCTCCTTAATATCCTCAATGCCCATGCTCCCATCAAAACCTCTACCTTTCTTTGCCATCTGGCTCACTGGATGTGACAGCAAATTAAGGATCTTCAAAAAAGACGAGATGCTGCCAGCATACGCTTTAGAGGTACTAGGCTTGCTGGCAACTACCAAGTGTTTAGGTTGCTTCATAACCTGGCACAAACCAGAATCCGACGAGCCAAATCCACCTATTTCCATGAAGCTCTTTTATCAGATCCTGATTCCAAATCCAAATGGCTACTCCTTCATAAAATATCCCTCTGTGAATCTTCCAGATCACCTTACTCAGCAGTCTTTCCTGTCTCACCTGATGATTTAAATTCATATTTTATATCAGCTTCCTCTTCCATTCCTCCATTAACCTCTTCCTTCTTTATTCCTGGAACATCATTTAATGACGACAACTTTTATTTTTCAGATATTTCTCCCACAGACTTCAAATCCGTCAGATTCCAATTCTATTAGTATAGATGGCATTCCCTTCAAATTAATCAAATTGTGCCTGCCTGAAACATTCCCTGTTCTCTTTTTCATCTATAATTTCTCCCTTCAGAACTCTGTATTTTCAACTTCTTAGAAAAAAAAGTCATTGTCCTTCCTTTACCTTAAAATCCTAACCCTTCTTCCCCTGAAGATTCCCCCCCCCCCCAATCTCAATCCTTTCTAACCTTTTAAAACTCCTGGAAAGAATAGTGCAATCCCAAGTTTCCAACTTCCTTGAATAGTCCAATCAACTTGACCTTTATCGATCTGGTTTTCGAGCAGGTTACTCCACACAATCTGCCCTAATCAAAATCATTACTGACGTTCAGTCTGCCATAGATGACAAAAAACTAACTATTCTTGTACCTTTTGACTTTTCCAAAGCCTTTGATACCATTAACTATTCCATCCTTTCCTCCAAATTAAAATCGTTATCTTTTTTCAACAGCTCTATTCTTTGGTTTAAATCTTTCATCTATCAACCTACCCAAGCAGTCACTATTCCTACTAACTCTGTTCTCAGAAGTGGCACAGGGCTCTAGAATATCTCCTCTTCTTTTTAGTTCCTATATTAACCACCTTCATAAATCAATCCTTCACTGTTCCCATCACCTTTATGAAGCTGATTCCTAAATTTACCTTTCCTTTGCTCCCTCTTAGTGCTATGATGTGTTTGCCAATATACTAGAAGACCTAAATCGGATCTGTGCCTGAGCAAACGTAAATGGATTAAGGTGAAACGCTACTAAAACCCAGGCCAGTGTCATTGGTTCCAAACCCCTTTTCAGATCCAATACCAACATTCCTGTCCTTACATAAATGAGCATCCCATCACCTTCAGCTCTTTACTTAAAAACTTAGGAATTTTCATAGACCAAACCTTCTCCTGAAATCACCATATTTTTCACATTTTCCGACATTCAATTTCTACCCTGTAATTATTCCATCACTTCTGTCATCTCCTACCCATTTACACACGTGGACTCCTAGTATCCACCCTCATCTTGCTCCACCTTGACTACGGCTGTGTGGTGTAAGGTGGCCTTTGGTTGAATCTCGGAGATAGACTGAAAAGAACCATGAATGGCTTAATAAGATTTGTCAATGGAATTCCAAGACGTTCTTGTGTTTACCACTACTATGCTATGGTAAACACGATGGATGGCTCCTCCCTTCCTTCAGTAGACAATATTTCCAAGGCACATTTCTTTACCAAATTATCTATAATCGTAGCCGGTCCTAGGCATACAATCTCCTTCTATTCAAGTCATCTATCCACTCCCTCACCACAAGATCTCGTCCTACTGAACTTTACACCCCTTTCTACAAATATGCTTCATTTCAACACTCCTTAATAGTCCATTCCACCACTTTTTGGAATTCCATCCCGCTTAAAATCCGCCTTACACTATCCTTATCCACATTTAGGACCCTTTCATTACAATTCAATCAGATGCTGGGTAGTTATTTATTATGTAACAAGGTTTCATTTTTCTTTATACACCATTTATATATATATATATATATATATATATATATATATATATATATATATATATTTATTTTTATTTTTTTTTTTTTGCTCCTATCAATCTATGTCTTAGTATATAGATTATAAGACTTTTCTAATTTTTACAATACCATTATAAGTACTCATTTGAACATATTTAGGAACAGATGTAAATCATTTATTGTATATATTTATCTTTTTTTTTTCTCATTACTATAATGGTTTGCCTACAAAAATAATTTATTATACTTTTTCAATTTCATTTAGTTATTTTTTACTTTATTACTTTTAGCAGATATTTTGCAGTATTATACTTTATTGCTCAACTTATTTCTTTAACATATCTTTTTGGGTAATTAGAATATAGAACATAAATACTTCTCTTATTACTTATGTTTTACTTATTCTTTTATTGTAAAAGGTTTTTTGCCCAGATTTAATGTTAATTTTTATGAACAATATTGATATTCTTAAGTGACTTTGTTGCAGAATAAAGTTGATTTTTCTATATATTTTTTTATAGTCGGTCCAAAACTCCCACTGAAGTTCTATACTGTATTATATATATATATATATATATATATATATATATATATAATGCAGGTACTCACCCGGTATCACCCGATGAACTAAATTCCTACTTTATATTTTCCACCACCAGCAACAGTTCACCCACCTCTCACCAGTTTTCCTTATCACCCTTATTTAACAGTGATAATTTCTATTTCTCCAACATTTCACCGACCGACCTTATTTCCTCTATAATGAAATCACACACAAACTCCATCGGACTTGATGGGATACCAGTCAAACTGTTAAAATTATGCCTTCCCGAAGTCGTTCCAGTTCTTCTTTTCATCTATAATTTTTCCCTCCAGAACTCAGTTTTTGCAACTGCTCGGAAAAAAGCATTAGTCAGACCTATCAACAAAATTCCCAATCCTACCTCTCCTAAAGACTACCGTCCAATCTCCATTCTTTCTAACCTTTCTAAACCTCTGGAAAGAATAGCTCAATCCCAAATCTCTAAATTCCTTGAAAACTCAAAACTACTCGATCCTCTCCAATCTGGTTTCCGACCTGGCTTCTCCTACTAAAAATTACCAATGACTTACATACCGCAATGGACGAAAAAATGTTAACTGTGTTAATACTTCTCGACTTTTCCAAAGCTTTTGACTCCTTAGACCATTCTACACTCTATACGAAATTAAAATCTCTATCCTTCTCCAACAGCTCTATCCTCTGGTTGCAGTCTTTCCTATCCGACAGAACTCAAGCGGTCAGCATTCCAAACCAACCCCTATCTTCCTTTCTTACACTGTCCTCTGGAGTGGCCCAGGGTTCGAGCATTTCTCCTCTCCTTTTCAATTCCTACATAAATGATCTTTCCAAATCCATCTACCACTGTTCACATCATTTATACGCTGATGACACCCAAATATATTTTTCCTTTCATCCTTCTGAGCTACTAGTGGCGTTCGCCAATATTCAGGCAGACCTAGATAGGATCAGTGCCTGGGCAAGTCTGAATAATTTAAATCTAAATGCGATGAAAACTCAGGCCATTATTATAGTTTCCAGTCCTATTCTTAAATCCATCTCCTTCCTTCCTCCTTTAGACATCAACGATCATCCTGTCACATTCAGTTCATCCGTTAAAAACCTAGGAATCACCATAGACGAAAACCTCTCCTGGAAACCCCATATCGCCCTCATCTCCCATAAGTCAATAGGTACCCTTAAGCTATTTCATCGCTCCCGCCACCTACTCCCACAACCCATCCGCAAGCTCCTTTTATCCTCTCTCATTTTCCCCCACTTTGACTACGGCTGTGTGGTGTACGGAGGCATCCCGATGGTACTCAAGGATAGATTGAAGCGACTCA